GAGATCTGAAGTCAGTTTGCAGTCCTTATACTATAAACCAACGAAAGCTGCTATTTCTGCTACTGCAGATGTGGAATACCAGCCATAGAGGGAAACAGGCGGCACTGATGCGGCCCCTCCCTAGGGTCCTGCTAGGACAGTGGTTCTCAACTTTCCTAATGCTGTGACCCTTTAATACAGTTCCTCATGTTGTGGTGACCCCCACCCATAAAATTATTTCCGTTGCTACTTCATAACTGTAATGAGTGAATCGTACCATAAATATCTGTGTTTTCCGATGGTCTTAGGTGACCCCTGTGAAAGGTTGTTTGATCATCCCCAAAGGGGTCATGGCTCACAGATTGAGAACTGCTTTGCTAGGAGCTGGCAGATAGATAGACCCAGGGCTACCCTGAGCAGTGGGAAGACAAAGGGTGGTGCATAGTGATGCTTTCATGTTAGTGCGAAGAGTATAACCTAATGGACATAAATGACTTATTCCCCAGCAGATGCTCACAAGCTGAGCCTAGAGTAGAAAAAGAAACAAACAAGCTATGTGTCTTCCTTACTCTGTGGCACTGTTCCCAGGGAAGGGAGGGCTGGGAGCATGTGTCTGACAAACCATCATGGGCTCTTTCAGGGAGGCCTGAGGAGTCAGCCTTCAGCATAGGCTGCTGACCAGGTCATCTGTCCCTCATCTGTCGCTTCATCCTCCATCTCCTGCCCTCCTATTGCTTACCCACTCATAGGCACCCAGTCCTCCAGAGCATCAGTGGGGATGGACATCAGAGCTGAGATCTGACATGATGGTTAGGCGGCTGTTTCCACATCTACCCTCAGTGACGAAGCTCAGCCCAAGGGAGGCAGGGGCGAGAGATAACCCTGCTTACTGTTCCAGTCTTTCTAAAGAGAGGTGGCCTGCTTGCCAGGCACTGGAGATAGTAGATAGTAAATAAAACACGTAGAGAAATGTCCCTGCAGCAGCCAGCCTCCCTCCAGGCCTCTGAATCACTAGAGTGAGAGGTAAAAATGTCTGGTGGCTTCTGTGTCTTTTCTACCTGGGAACATTGGCCCTGAGAAGCCCTGATGTAGTGAGAGTTGCCAGGCTGAAGTGGCGGTGCCTGCATTTTTCTTGGGGTAGTCCCTAGCCCGATCTTTCTTCTGAGGCTCTGGTGTTTGTGTTTGAGGCTAAGGATCTTGGCATACTCACTGTCATAGGGTCATTGTAGGCCTTAAGGAGGAGTTATCAGCGCAAGGTGTTTGGTAGGTGAGGAATGCTCCCTGCAAGAAGGGAAGCCTTACACCACACCTGCCTCCGTAACCCCTGGAAGTGGAAATGCTGGGGATTCCTCATCTGGGAAGAAGTGCATTTCTAGGAATGCCCAGCACCCTACTTCCTGATAGCAGCCTTCAAATGGGGAGTCTTGTAGCACCCAGGAGTGTGGACCCGCAGAAGTGGGGTGGGGGTGCTGAAGTGCCCACCCACCCCAGTATGGAGAGCACAAAACCCAAGCCTTGCCTCTTACAGGTGTGCAGGCAGAGGCCATGTCAATATGGAGGTCAGTGTGTGAATGTGAATGCATGACAGTGTGGGAGGCTGTGGGGGAGACAGATGCATGAGTGTGAGGTGTAAGAGAGTGCCCATGTGGCGTGTGTCTGAGTAGCCATGTGTGGGAATGGGGGAGAGAAGGTGTGACTCGGTGTCAGAGAGTGTGTTGATGAGAGACTGGGTATGTGGCATGTGTCAGCATGTGAGAGCGAGTGTATGTGACAGTGAATGTGGGCGTGTCACACGAACCTGTGCGTGACAGCTGAGTGTGAGGAACTGAAGGACAATGGTTGTGTAAGAGACCATGCCCATCCCCGTGGATGTTCTTGGACCACTCAGTTCCTGGGCCTCGTTCAGTTCTCAAGCATAGGGTCCCCACCCTTGGGAATTCTCTCTTGCCCTGTCACCTCCCACTGCTGAGGAGGAGCAGCTGCCATAGGGTCTCTGCTGTAGATGCTGTGGGTGCCTAGTGGAGACAGAGCTGCTGGAGTGTTCCGGCTCGAGGTGTGGCCTCGGGCCTAGGCTTAAGCTCTGCTCTCTCACTGTACTTGCTGAGCTGCCTTGGGTCTGTTGTGGCACCTAACTTCGGCATCACCTTGCCTGACAAATAGGAAGACCAGGTCCTGCCTTGGAACTGTTAGACCTCTCTCCTGTCTCTGGGTAGTTAAAGAAGGGCAGAGATGCCAGCAGTGTGGCCCCTTGTGGCTCCGTAGGGTGCATCGCCTTGAAATGGTGGGGAAGGCCATATCCATTTGGGTTCCTTTAGTGGGTTGCTCAGGAAGGAGGAAATATTTATTGACCCAACACCAGAGTTTGTGAAGATAATTAGAGTGGGTCTAATGTAAGACCAGAGGCTCAGAGAGAACCAGTGTAGGCCAGCAGAACCCTGCAGCAGCCATCCATGCAGAGCAGTACAGAGGAGAGAACCAGCAGAGGCCATCCATGCAGATGTGAGAACCAGCAGAGGCCATCCATACAGATGTGAGAACCAGCAGAGGCCATCCAT